CGCGTGCAGTTTTGAGGATGGACTGGACCTTTCCGTTTGTCTTAAATCTTCCTAGAACCCAAACGACATCTCGTACGTGTACAGCGGCTACGCTCCGCTCAGCATCCGACTGACCCAGGTGTTGGCGAGGCCCGGGTGGCGAAGCATCGAGGAGGTGCTGAAGATGCTCCCGGGACCGCACTTTGAGGAGAGACAGACACTTCCATCTGGCCTTCATAAAAAACGTACGGACCACTACTCTTTTTTTTTTTTTTTTTTTTTTTAATAATCGAGATTTGTGGGCATAAATGTAAAAGAAGCAATTAGACGGATCGCAAATAAACTACAAACTGGTCTTATTGTATAAGCTACAGGTCTAGCCTAACGATCAGAATAGAAAAGATTATTCATTTTCTAGAGAATTAATTATTTTCAGATCCATATTTTAATGTCTTAATGTTTTAAACTCTGTTTCCTACAAAAGTTACAGTGGAGATGTACCTCAAATAAAAATGCAAACGGCCTCTTTGACACCGAAACCCCACCATTGAATCTTTTTCTTATCACACTGACACACTAATCCCAGCTGCCGGACCTGTTGTCCGTTTGTCCCGCTGCTTGTTGCAGAACGAACACAGCCGCCTGCTTGTCGTGTGCAGATAAGACGCAGGCTTTTATTCTGTGAAGACACAAAGCAGGAGAGCAGCAGCAGATTTGACAGCTCAGAGCTTCAGTCTGTTTGCTCTGTCTGTGTTCAAGTAAAGACTGAATACAAACACAGTTTGATTTGGGAGCGACAGCCGGCATTTTTCCCTCAGATGTTTGTGGTTGATTTATTTTAGGAGTGGTTAGATGTGGATAATAAATCTAATTAAACACCATTTAAAATGAGCTAATTACAGCTGCATGTTTGGGCGTTAAAAATGGGACTAGTGGCTACAAGCCTGCCTCACACTGATGTGGGGAAGTGATAATAACAGTTTAAACCTGGGAGAAGGTGCAGATTGATTCGCTTATTAACAGATGGGTCTTAGAAGACAGACAGTTTTTTTCCCCAGGTTTAACTTTTATCTCTTGATGCATTACAGGACAACAGGGGGAGAATCGAACGACGCTGGTTTTCTTCCTCGGAGGAGTGACGTACGCAGAAATAGCCGCTCTCCGTTTCCTCTCTCAGATGGAGGACAGCGGGATGGAGTACGTCGTGGCCACGACCAAGCTCATCAACGGCACCACCTGGATCAAATCCCTCATGGATCGGCCTGAGTCTCAGCTGCCCTGAGACACCCGCACAGACCGCTGGCCTCGTCAGACCCACATCTGAATCCACCCCTGATCAGTTTGCTGCATTTTGCCACCTTCGACCACACCGCATGTTAATAATCTTTTTTTTTTTTTTGTCTGTCAGCTGTTGGCCAACTAAACACTGTACATATGTATTTATGGGATGTTTAATCACACGATTAAAGATGCACTTGCATTTTTCAAACTTTTCCAGACTTTCCTCTGTTCCACACGACTTAAAAATGTCTAAGAATTTAATTTTATTTTGGAATTTAGAAAAATCTGCTGGAAGCCAATTTAAGACTTATACATACTATAATGTTAACAATTGGAAAAATATATTGCTGATATGAGTAGTCATAACAAAATAAGTTGGCAGAAGTTGTCTAAAACATTATAGTGTGACAGAGCCTTTAAGCTGAGGTTAGAAGCAAACAAATGAAATGTCAGTCAACTTCAATTACTTTTGTGTTACCAGTCATGTGACTGGCTTTTTTTCCCCCATCTTTTTTTTTATTCAGAGGCAGTGCATCCGTCAGCAGCGATCCAGCTCTCCCAAGAAGCAATTAGCGCAGTAACAGGCCTCCCGATCAGCCGATAATAGCCCCGTGCTGTCTGGAGAGCTGGGGCCGTGGCGGCCCCTGATTTGACAGAGCAGGACACTGATTTGATTAGGAGGCCATTTGCTTCATGTTCCGGTAGAGGATAACTGTGCTGCGGGAGGGTGTTTGATCTCAGCATCAGTCAATACCTTCCTCTTGCCTCACACTGTAAACCAAACACGTCCTGCTGAGGGATGTTTTTGGAGGACTCTTGTTCCTTCGTGTTGAATAGCTGCAAATTTTAGCAGCTTTTTTAAGCAGTTTTTGTTTTTGTTCGTTTTGTTTTTGATTGGCAAAATCTTGCATTTGTGTTTGTTCGAGGAGCAGGTGCACTGAGGACTCAAACTGCCATCAGGTCAATCCCAGCAGATTTAGATCCTTGTGATCAGTTTTTATGCTTGTTGTGACTCCTCCTCCTCTGCATCGTAGCCTCGGAAACGCTCGACGCCGCCACACACTAACCTGAACTTCCTGGCTGCAAGAAGAGGAGTCCACCCTCTGATCAGCTCCTGCCCTCCTCCTACAACATCAAGGTATGAATCTTTATGTTTTTTTTCTGCTACACAAATAAACTTTTCTACATGTTTTACCCCTTAATAGTTCTTATGAGTTTAGCTCTGACTTTCTTGAACAAAATAACCACTTGAAATATTAATTATTCAGTGTTGCTGAAAGCTCAGTTTGAGACAACTTCAGCATCTTTTCTGTCTGAAAGAGATGTTCTACATGTAGTTTGTGACTAAAGCAAACAGCCAATCAATAGGGCCCATTTAGTGCAATTTAGGCATTAATTATTTACATCAGTTTAGTGCTTCTAGCCTGAGGTCATGAGAAAATTATTTAGTAACAATCACATTGAATAAACTCACTGGATGTTTCTATTAATGTTTGTAGTTTTGTTTTGTGCAATATTTTTATATAAAAAAATTTTTTCTCTCCCTCTGAAATCTGACAGTTTGGGTTTTTTTCTTTTGTTGTTGTTTTTGTTTTTTTTTTTAGAATGGTTCGAGGTGAGAACATTGAGCTCGTGGAAATGGAACCCTTGTTTATCCGTTTCCTCCGGACATTCAAGGAAGTCCTTAAATTTGTTCTCTTCAGCTACACGGTGGTGTTCGGTGCCTTGCTGCTCGCCCGGTGGACCACTTACTTTATGGTGGGAAAGTAGAAATCCAAAGAATGAGCTTGTTCTTGGATGACTCAACCTGAAGCTGAAGCTGATCTGGCGGACCTTTGTTTGGGAGGATTTACTTTTAATGCAGTTCCTTTAAAACAACAGATTGTCAAGAGGATTTTCTTTATTTGATTTTCCGTGTTTTGCATTCTGCAGTGGTTCCAAATATTTTTAGAATATAAATGTATTTGATGTTGAAATGTGTATTTGAGATTATGTGCATTAAAATGTCCCTTTTTTATGGTTATAGCAGATAAATGCTGCATTTTTTTCAATGGATAAAAGCATTAAATGCTTGTTTTAATGTGTATTGATTTCTTTCCTCCAAACTTGTAAATATAGAAACTTGTTATTGGTATTTTGATAAAGCAGAAAAACAATTGGCTTCAGTGCACCACTAAACAGACTAAAAGGAAGTCTGATTTTAATTATATTTCAGGTAAATATTACCAGTTTTTTACCATGTTCTTTTTTATTAAAAAGATTTAGTTGTAAATCCATGTATGAATCCCTATTATTGATAATTAATACTTCTCAGCCTGCTATAGATGAGAGGAACTTGTGGTTCTGATGCGGCTTGGAGACCATACATCTACTTACACAACTGGTTTAGTTTGTTGGTTTTTATGAAAAAAGTTATGTCCCATTTCAAATAGAATGTAAACATTTATTTACAGTGATCATCCTGTCTGTTCTGAATAGAAAAATCAAGTTTCTAAAATATATATTTTATTATTAAAGTGGCTACATTTGAAAAATGAGCTGGTTCTGGTGACTCAGTAATGTCCATGTGGACCAGTTTTGATGGTTTGAAGGAAATTACTTATTTTTACTTAAATTTGTTTCACCTGTGATATTCTGAGAACGACCAACCAAAACACAAACGTGGCGATTCTTTTTAAATTGTTTTCTTTTGAGAAATAAAATGGGTAAAAGGTCTTTGTGCACCACTTGGACCCAAAGAGCTTGATTGGTTTTAGTCTCTTTGTCAGCCATGATTTTCATAAATGCAAATAACTTTAGGGATTTTCAGGGAACTATTAAAGAAATCATATCTGGCAGGTGTATCGAACTTCAGGAAGTTCATGGCAGCTCAAATTTACTGTGTTCCTGCTGCTAAAGCTCCCATTTCTCATCAAAATGTCTTTTTTAATTCAGCTTAGCATAATCATAATCATTGTAGTCAATGTTTCTGTTGCTCAGAAGACAGTATTTTTTCCTTGAGGGATGATTTGTGTATTTTCTTTCATAATTACTCTGAAAATGTAGGGAAAACAGACGAGTGAGCATCTAATGTTTGATTGAAAACAGGAATACCAGAAACCTGAACACAATCAGTGGTGGGCACAGTTCCCCTAAAACACTAAATGACTAATAAGGGGAACTTGTTTCCTGATTAGTGCTTTAGGGCTTTTGCTAAATTTAAAAATTAGTGGATTAGCACTTGCTAAATTTAGAAGCACTAACTGAGGTCTACAAATGTTATTGATCAATGTTAATGTTAACAGCTGATGGTGAAAGCTGATGCACATTTTGTTCATATGTGTGTCCCTTGTCCACTAGGTCGGTGTTTCCCAACCAAGGGTACATGTACCCTTTGCGGTACACGAGCATATTATAGGGGGTAAGTGGAAAATTTTCCCAGGTATGTAAAAACATAAATAAAAATAGCACTGAGATGTAGGATATGTAGGACCTTATGATTTATGCAATGCGGAAATTCCAGACGGAATCATGGAACTAACACAAAATGGAATCAGTATAAAATGTGGAATCTCACAGAATTTGCTCATTTGGGTGAGTTTCTTGTGTATTTTGGACGCTGCTGTTTTCTGCACCTGCCATTACCTGGTATATTTTTTTTAATTACTTATTCATTTTCAAGGTAAAAATTTTATCTTTGTGTAATTTGAGTTGAAAAAAATAAAATGCCTGTAATTAATTAAACATTCTCGGGGGTTAAATAAAAAAATCATTTAATAATCAGTTGTAGTACGTTATAGTTTTGGAGAATTGTCATTACATTTGACTGTAGGGGTACTAGTGGTATGACAGAATGGCTCAGGTCTAAAAAGTTTGGGAACCACTGGTCTAAAGTCCTGAAACATTTCAGTATTTTCAGGACCTTGGACAGTTCCTTCAGCCCTTCACACTTTCTAAAGCCCTGAACCATTTCAGTATTTTCAGGACCTTGGACAGTTCCTTCAACCCTCACACTGTTTGAGGTCCTGAAACATTTCAGCACTTTCAGGACATTGCAGGGCTCTAGACTTTTTGCACTGGTTGCACCGGTGCACCAAACATTTTTTCTTAGGCTCACCCAAATTTTCACCACACGTCGCATTTAACATCAGAGTTTTACAGTTTTTTTTCACTGTTCATTAAGGCAATATTAACTCAAAAATAATTAGTTAACAATCTAGTAAACATGAAGTTCTTTATTTGAACCAGAATTGTACAAGACCTATAAATTACTGAAAAGTATTTAAAGTGACTCTATAAAATTCTAAGTGCAAATGTTTAAGGGCTGAAACATCTTAAACATTTCATGGTTAAATTTATTTTAGACACATGCCCCTCAAATGGACAACTCCTGTGGTTTGGCCTTATGGGTCTTTGGCCTTGGATAAACCAGAATGATGAACAGAGAATATTGATTAATAACAGAAATATTACTGATATTTATTAAAAGGTTGTGCAGATTTTTTAAAAATAATAACACATACGAGTCTGCAATTTCATTAGCATTAGTTGAATCTTTTATTATATTATTTCACTTAAATATCTAATATGTCTGGCCTTATCCTCCTGAGACCCAGAAGAACCWATTTCAGATACTTGGAATGTAACTGTGGTGAAGTCGATTAAGTGCAAAAGTGGCCTGCCATACAGGTGAGCTTCCTCACGCTGCTGAAATGATCTGCTGCACTCACAAAGTAGACCCTGCATTAACAAGATGGACGAGCGAGCAACCATCCCCATCTTGTTTTCATCTCCAGCTAACAAGAAAGAACTGTTTTTCAGACTCCAATCTGGGTAAACAAAAACTCCGGTTGTTTCGCTATGTGTGTGTGTGTGTGTGTGTGTGTACAGGTTTTTGCTTCATGATGGGTACAATTATTGACCATTTCCCTGGTAGCCTACACACAGCCTGGCGAGGTTAGGGTTTGGGTCTTTGGGTCAGGTGTGTAGCCTACCCTGGGAGGTTATGGTTGGCTGTAGAATTGACGGGGAAATGAATGGAAGTCAATGCAAAGTCCCCATGAGGATAGAACAACAAACGTGTGTGCTCGGGAGGTGTGGAGCGGAGTCCGCGAGCAGAGCGCAGTGTTATTAGGAGAGATGGAGACTGTCGGTGGGCGACCATTTATACTGCTGGATTATTTTTTTATGGAACATGGAAAAAAAATTCACCGGGCGACCGCTCCCCCTCGAACGACTGGTCGCACCAGTGCGACTGGGCATTTTTTTAGTCGCACTATTAGGAAATCAGGTCGCATTTGTGACCAAATTGGTCACACTCTAGAGCCCTGCCTTGGACAGTTCCTTTAGCCCTTCACACTGTTTGAGGTCCTGAAACATTTCAGTACTTTCAGGACTTTGGACAGTTCCTTCAATCCTTCACACTGTCTAAAGTCCTGAAACATTTCAGTATTTTCAGGACCTTGGACAGTTCCTTCAGCCCTTGACACTGTCTAAAGTCCTGAAACATTTCAGCACTTTCATGACCTTGGACAGTTCCTTCAGCCCTTCACACTGTCTAAAGCCCTGAAACATTTCAGTACTTTCAGGACCTTGGGCAGTTCCTGCAACACTTCACACTGTCTAAAGTCCCGAAACATTTCAGTATTTTCAGGACTTTGGACAGTTCATTCAGCCCTTGACACCGTCTAAAGTCCTGAAACATTTCAGCACTTTCATGACCTTGGACAGTTCCTTCAGCCCTTCACACTGTTTGAGGTCCTGAAACATTTCAGTATTTTCAGGACCAGGGACAGTTCCTTCAGCCCTTGACACTGTCTAAAGCCCTGAAACATTCAAGTACTTTCAGGACCTTGGACAGTTCCTTCAACCCTTCAGGCTGTCTAAAGCCCTGAAACATTTCAGTACTTTCAGGACCTTGAACAGTTCCTTCAACCCTTCACACTGTCTAAAGTCCTGAAACATTTCAGCACTTTCAGGACCTTGGACAGTTCATTTAACCCTTGACACTGTCTAAAGCAGTGATTCTCAACCAGGGGTACATCTACCCCCTGGGGTATACAAGCATATTACAGGGGGTATGTGGAAAAATTTCCCAGAGCTGTAAAAAATGTAAAGATAGGACTGAGAAATGTAGGGCCCTATGATTTCAGCAATGCAGAAATTGCAGACAGAATCATGCAATTAACACAAAATGGAATCCAGTATAAAATGTGGAATCTCACAGAATTTGCTCATTTGGGGTGTTTGATGTATTTTGGACGCTGCTGCTTCCTTCACCTGCTATTACCTGGTTTATTTGTTTAATTACTTATTCACATTCAAGGCAACATTTTTATCTTTATGTTTAATTTGAGTTGAAAAAAATATAATGCCCGAGAATTAAATGTTCTAGGGGCTTAAATAATTTTCATTTAATAATCAGTTGTGGTACATTATGGTTTTGAAGAATCATCATTATTTTTGACTGAGGGGGGTACTAGCGGTATGACAAAATGGCTCAGGGGTACACAAGTCTAAAAAGGTTGGGAACAATTGCACTAGGTGACAATATATTGACAATATATGAATCCAAATAAGACTGGAATGTCAATGATAAGACTTAAGAGAGCAACATGGCAATATGTGACTCATGTTGTCTGTTGAAGAATGTTCATAGGATGATTGGGTTATTTTAGTGCTTTAGAATTAGCTTTTGATCAAATTTTCAGTGTGTTAGTGTTTTAGAATTAGGGGGCCTAAATATTTGAGTTAGTGTTTTAAAGCTAGTGGAACTAATTTTTAGATTAGTGCTGCCCACCACTGCACTCAGTGCATCTGTAGTTTGTCTGTGCTATTTTGGCTAATCTTATATGGATAAAATGCATAATGTGTGCATTCTATTTTGCAATAATTTTACATGATTCAAGAGGAAAACATAATTTGTGCTGAAAACTAAACTGTGTGGCTTTCATTACCTGACAATAATTTCCGTGCTTGATTTTAAAACAGTTCAGAGTATTATTTGCATATTCATTTTTTCATATTTAAATTTAGTTATTGGGAAAATTGATTTGTGTACATTTCAAGGCAATCACACCTAACTTTATGCTCCATACAATAAAAGCATAAGAAATATCATAAATACCTAAATAATTATTGAATTAATAATAACTTCGTTTAGTCTAAGTGCATATAACCAAATTAAAAAAATCTTAGTTATAAGTTTTCTGACTTGTTACAAATGAGTGCGAGTTTGTTCGATTTTATTCACTGAAACGTCCGCATGGGCGGGATGTATGTGTTGCATCCTTTAAGTAAGGACGTCTCCGTTTCTTTCTTTCTTTTTTTCTTACCGTGAATTTAAAACATATTGAACTAAATATATATTTAGGTGTTATCCTCTAGTTAAAAGCTAAATTTATTCACTGACTGTTTATGCTAAATGTCCCGGAGCACCGTCTCCTCTCCTGTTCAACCCCGCCCGCGCGGCGCCATTTTGAAAGTGTAACGCGAGCGGAGGCAGATGCAAGGGAAATCTCAAAGTAGGGTGCAAAGTCTGCAAACCAGTCGTGAAGGTTGTAGTCGTTTTCTTCAAATGAAAATCATTTTGCGGTCGTAAAATCAGCCGGTGTTTGAGGACTGTCGGGAGTTACTTACAAACAGCGCACACCCATCTTCATTACCCCTGCTCGTCGCTGCTCTCCTTCGGACAGAACCAACCCGACCCAGCAGGTCAGCACGGACTGATCCAGTCCAGGGCCCGAAACTTCTGCAACACAGAGCACGGTCTGAGCTCCTCGCCATCATCATCATGGCAGGTAAAATCAGAGTGCCACCAGAAACCTGGAAAAGCTATTCTTAATTGTCATGTTTTTGCACAGAGACGTTTTTGTTTTTATCACCCTCTGTGGTGAAGCAGAGCAGGCTAGTTAGCAAGCTAGGAGAAACGACAGAAATCAAATCTCTCAGGCTGAAATGAGCGTGTGGCAGACAAATTTAACTCCTTCCATCTCACAGTTTATTCCCTCAAATACAATGTGCAGTTTGTGTAAAGTCAAACCCTGCCTTCTTTTTGTTTCCTGGAGGCTAACTCTGTTTGAGTCGAGTTAGCTTCCGGCTAATGAGAAGTTGACGGTGAAGAGAAACAACTTTGGTTTGTTTGTGTTGCAGGACCCGGTGGAGGGAGCAGTGATGTGCAGTGGTGTTTCTCTCAAGTCAAAGGAGCCATGGATGATGATGTAGCTGAAGGTGAGTTATTAAATGTAGCCTCATTAAATCACATCATATATTTTAAGCACTTAGGTGATGTTTACATATAATCAAAGCATCTCTCTAAAGCAGCATTTAGTTTACACACAGGATAAATGAGTTTGTTCAGTCTTGTTTGCTTGCTTTGAACTGTTTGGATCTTTTTAAATCCTTGGCTTGGTGTTTTCTATATGTTCACTCAGCACACTAAATGTGAAACCACAACAAAAGAGTACTGAATTGTGTTTACACAGTACATAGCTGACACGTAGAAGCGTAAAAGTCTGAGGAGTTGTTTACAGTAAGCTTTGCCCCGAGAACAGGAACAAATCAGAGCTTACTCTAACAGTCCAAGTCCATTATTCATAAGCTGCACGCAGTGAAGTAGTCCTCGATGTGCTTTATTCAACAGATTGTGTGGAGTCGGGTCGTATCAGGCACATGTGTGCTGTTTGGACTGGAGCCAGCTCAGAATAGTGCCTCTCTGTAAATGGAGATTGTATCGTCAGAGTTGTTGAGGACGATTGTCTTTGACAGATGCGTTGAATAGTTACAGACGTACTGTAGATTGTGTCTGCAAGGCGTAATCAACATACACTTGAGTTTTACTTTGTTGGATCACTGTTGTTCAGGACCGTTCAACTAAACTGCTCAGGAGTTCACAGCTATCAAAACCCAGCAGCTCTGGAGTTTTCCTAAATGAACCCGTTGACAGGTCTCTGTTGTATTGCCCTGTCATGGATCACCTCTCACGAGGACGTTTTTGTCATTTCTAAGTTGTTCAATGTTTCTTTGAGGATTTTAATTTTTTCTGATTTTAAAATCTAGTTTTGTGGGCCAGACTGAGCTCACCAACAGGCCAGATGTGGCACCAGTTGTCTAGCCTTGCTGTAGTGCCTCATTGCTGTCCGTCTTTCATAAAGTTTTAGCAAAAAAATTTTTTATCGAGTAATTTAAATGAACAAAATGTTAAACCAGTGCACACACACATATATTACATCTTCAATTAAGACAATTTCCTAATTAGGTTGCACAAAACATGTCTTTTGGTTGGTTTTATTTAATTGTGATATTGTGTCGGCAGCTGACATCATATCAACGGTCGAATTCAATCACTCTGGGGAGCTGCTCGCCACTGGGGACAAGGGGGGCCGTGTTGTCATCTTTCAGCAGGAGCCGGAGGTGTGTGAGTTACTGAGACGATGCATCTGACTAAATGTGTGCAGATATTACGAGCTTTTCAAAGATGATGCGTTTCTAACTTCATTTATTCTGTTAAACCTTTCACCCACTTAGCGGCTGAATAAAACTGAGCCAAATTTTCTGAACTGCCAAACATAATTTTGTCACAGGTCCACATAAGCATTAGTGTGATCTAAGGTCTGTTTTTGTTTAGAGTAAGAATCAACCTCAGTGCAGAGGAGAGTACAACGTTTACAGCACCTTCCAGAGCCACGAGCCCGAGTTCGACTACCTGAAGAGTCTCGAGATCGAGGAGAAGATCAACAAAATCCGATGGTTACCTCAGAAGAATGCAGCGCAGTTCCTTTTGTCTACGAATGGTTAGTAAACCACGGGACTCCAGCGGCTGCGCTGGGAACTGAACTTGTACTTTTCTCTCATCAAAAATGGCTGAACTCTGCTCTGTCTCACCGGCAGACAAAACTATTAAGCTGTGGAAGATCAGCGAGCGTGACAAGAGACCAGAGGGCTACAATTTAAAGGAAGAAGACGGGCGTTACAGAGATCCCAACACTGTCACAACTCTACGGGTGGGTATATTTAAAAGAAAAATAATGTTTAGCAATATCCCAGTAATGTTTTAATTTGTCTTAAAAAGACCTGTGTTGAATTGTCATTAATTTAGGAAGCATGTCTTTACTGAAAAACAAATGTAGTGAGAATTGTCTCTTTCAAGATTTTGACTCTGCCTCTTTAAAACTTTAGTTTAAATCAAAATAATCAAAGCATTTCAGGTAATGGTCTATGAGCTCTACAGCTGTTTTTCTCCTGACACTCTGTCCACTGGGTTCCTCAGGTACCGGTGTTCAGGCCCATGGATCTGATGGTGGAGGCCAGTCCCAGGCGAGTGTTTGCCAACGCCCACACCTACCATATCAACTCCATATCAGTCAACAGTGATCATGAGACCTACCTGTCTGCAGATGACCTGCGTGTTAATCTTTGGCATTTGGAGATCACCGATCGCAGCTTTAGTATCCTTTTCTTGTCTAATTATTAAATAAATTTAAATAACATATAGTATTATTAAAAATGGATTATATTTTTGTTTTTAAAGGCCAGGTTCACACTGAAGATTTTAAAGCTCACTTCTGGTTTTTATTTTTATTTTTTACTCGGATACTTTTTTCTTTTATGTGGTTGTGATTTAAATTCGACCTTCATCAGACTCCAGTGTGAACAGTCCACAGTGCTGAAGCACAGAAGAAGACGTGACGTCACTGTTAGTAAATACAGATGCTACATGTTAGCGTGTGCGACTTGATTCAGAAGTTGCAGTCAGTGACTAAATTATCTGTTGTTTCATCCAATGTTTACGTTTGATCTTGCAGCTTCCTGCTCAGTCGGGTGAAGAATGAAATGTGGTGACGTACTGAAAGTAGAAACAAACTCAAGGATCGATCACATCATGCTAGTATTGATACGCTCCAGCGTGTTGGTGTATCGATGTTAGCAGCATATGTTGGTGTAAGTTCATCCAGGACAAATATAGAAAGTGTAAAAAGACAAAGTGATTGGACTTCGGTATAGCTAAAGACGAGTGGAGTTCAAGCTTTAAACTGCATGATGGGAGTCACTTTTGCCTCAAGCGTGAACTTTGCCTTAAAGATTTTCCTTCAAATACGAAATGTCAAAGAAAACATTTTTTATATTTGAGAAACTTGCCATAACACAGGATTTTACCTATTTTGTCACATAACTTGGTATACTTTCATTTGGATTGTGAAAGGTATTAAAAAGAGAAACAGGAAGTGACATCAAATGGGAACTCTTTGATCTTTGTTTATTGAAACAATATTATTTTATCTCTTCTCTCTCTGATAGTGACACAAGATAATCTAAATAAACAATCAGAGTCTTCTCTACATCTGTGTTAGCTGTTGTAGTAATACTCTGTTCACATACAGAGATGCTTCTTTGTCATCACGTCCTGTTTCTGTATATGCAAGTATCTCAGCAGCTGCTCATATCAGTGACACAAATGCTTCCACAATATGTTATTAGTAGTGTCTTTCCAAAAATCCATTCACTTTTATTACAGAAATTTGATCTCACATGTGCTTCCAAGTAAAATATATATATATGTATATATATATATATGTCATACTTTAAAACCACCACAAGATGTCGCCAAACTAAAAGATTTTAGCTTCTCCAGAATGTACAGTATCTAAGATTTTCCTCATAGTTTCCTCACTCTTCCATCTTCCTGCCTGTGTTCTGCTCAGCATCTTTATTCGTCTTAACCCAAGTTCTCCAGATATTGTAGACATCAAACCAGCAAATATGGAGGAGCTGACAGAAGTAATTACAGCGGCGGAGTTTCACCCCCATCAGTGCAACACTTTTGTCTACAGCAGCAGTAAGGGGACCATCCGCCTGTGTGACATGAGGGCGTCAGCACTGTGCGACGTACATGCCAAATGTAAGTGTGTTTTAGTTGTTGGCAGCCTAACATTTACTCAACTGATCGTGTTCCCAAGGATACAAAAGATTTGAAAAGATGTATTTTAAAATTTAATAGGCAAACTTGGTTGGATGTGTGTAAATGATTTGTTTCTGCTGCCTCTCTCTGTGTGTGTTTGCTGCAGAAGTGAGCTAATAGCACGCACCTGTTTCTTTATTTCTTTAAGTGTTCGAGGAGCCAGAAGATCCAAATAACCGTTCTTTCTTTTCTGAAATCATCTCCTCCATCTCTGATGTGAAGTTCAGCCACAGCGGACGCTACATGATGACGCGGGACTATCTGTCTGTCAAAATCTGGGATCTCCACATGGAAACACAGCCAGTAGAAACGTATCAGGTCTGTAATAACACTGGTCTCAGTGTGCCACAAATTATATATTAAAAGCAAGACTCTAATGAAGTTAATTTTGTCTTTGCTTTAATTGTATAAGTTTTTTTTTTATAACAGGTACATGAATATCTCAGGAGTAAGTTGTGTTCTCTTTATGAAAACGACTGCATTTTTGACAAGTTTGAGTGCTGCTGGAATGGAAATGACAGGTGAGCTCTTCATATTTGCTTTTGCATTAGTTCTACAAACATTAAAGTTTACCTCGGGCTGTAAGAATCTGAACTCTAGCATGAAGTGAAAATAACCAACACAACATTTTGGGAAGACACACGACTAACTTACATTCACTGCAGACACAAAATGACCGAAATCAGAATTTTTTACGAGGTTGAACATAACTCTACTTGTTTGTGGGAACGTTTCCTTAAATAAAATTTAGAGATTCTAAATTTTCAAGCCTCTGCTCACACACATGCTGTGTTTTCCACAGTGTTGTGATGACGGGCTCCTACAACAACTTCTTCAGGATGTTCGACAGAGGCTACCGACACGACGTGACCTTCGAGGCGTCGCGGGAGAACAGCAAGCCTCGCTCCGTCCTGAAGCCTCGCAAAGTGAGCACGGGTGGGAAGCGCAAAAAGGACGAGATCAGCGTGGACAGTCTGGACTTTAGCAAGAAGATCCTCCACACCGCTTGGCATCCTCTGGACAACATCATTGCAGTGGCAACCACCAACAATCTGTACATATTCCAGGATAAGGTGAACTAGCTTTTGGTAACCACTCAGATCAGTTTTTAGCCTCGTTGCGCTCAAAGAAAAACAATAGTTCTTCTTTTCCTTTTTTTTTTTTTTTTACCAAATTCCCAAATCTTCATTCAGAACATCTTTTTGAGTAAATTATAAGTGATGGTCTCTCCAAACATGTTAGTTTGCAGCATTGGTTTCTTCCTTCAGGATCACTCCATTCACTGAGCTTCCATTTGCACCTCCACTACATCCCAAAGCAAAGCGAAATATTACTTTGATCATTTGTTTGTGCCATGTTGTTAACAGCTACCGGTTAGGTTTTTGTACCTGTTATATTTTTCAAGTATAAATAGGATATTCCTCCTACTGTTTTTATGTTTTAATGTCATGTTTTTTGTTCTCGTGCCAACCTGAGACTTTAAATACAAGTTGTCGACACTTCAGTTTCGTTCAAACTGACAAGTTGCCAAGTACTCTCAGCTTTTGTTTCCCTGCTCATCTTAAAGGACTAAAATGATGTTTTATCAACTCTCATTCTCTGAAAATCTTGTTAAACTGGCATTACTACTAATGTTTGTATCCAGTGTGCGAATACCACTTAGATTTTTTTATTTATTAATTTTTTTTAACTTCAGAGCAGCCAGTGTTTAGTACTCATCTGTCTGCTGTAAGTTACTTCACTAGAAGTTTACTTATTGTTGTAAACTTCATGTTGCCTTTGCATACGTCAGGTTTAGTTGTTGCATAGTTGAATACGCAATTATTCCAACGTTTGACCTTTTTCAGACAAGATGCCAGTTTTGTTATTCTGTCAAAAACATGAGCCACTTCTACCTAAAGGTTACACACACACACACACACACACACACACACACACACACACACACACATGCTTGCTGTACACTCAGGACTGAACTCATTATCTGTGGTTTTAAACATAAATCTCTGACCGTGTTCTACTGTAACTGTAAACATCCTCCTCCATCTTTCAGCTTGTTAAACTAGGATTCGGACCGACCTCATCCTCGCGATGCGACAGCCGTCAGTTTATAAAAACACTCATGACAGAGAGTTACGTCTCCACCGGAGCCTCTCTGCTGTCGGGTGTACTGCAGCTTTTGAACTCCTAAAAAAAGTTTAGCTGTGTCCCTTTTTAAATTTTTACTTTTTAGGCTTGTGTGTGATAAAGATTTCACAGGATACGCTAATTTTATGTCTTATTTCATAAAATCTTAAAGGCTCTGAAAAGTCAAACGAATGCACGTGCCTAAAGGGCTTTTCAAGTCACAACGAACCTATTTGTTTTAGAACAGTAACGGAGCGTATTCCGACTTGCAGTGAACTCACTCGGTCACTGACTAGCGGATGGAAAGCAGTAAATGTGAAGTCCAACACTGGAAGCGAGTTAGATTTCTCAGGTGTCATTCTGGGTGTTAAACGGGTGGCAATCAATGCCAAAGGAAACCGGTCTTACACATTGAACCTATTTAAAGCTGTCCTAACAGAGAAGGTGTTCTGGTCTGGCTGCACTCGTGTGCACAGCCTTCTGAAGCTCAGGACAAATATGTGAAAGGCCAGGATGTGGCCTGAGGCATCAGAACTGAGTGCTGCTGCCAGCTTCCTTTTCAAAGCATGTTGTTATGCTTTAACATCTGTGTTTAGTTTTCTTTTTCCTTTTATATATGTGATGTTTTCTACTGTACCCTATTAAAAAAATAATATTCACTACAGTTGATTTATTTTTGTAAGAATTAAGGTGATAGAGGCGAATCACTGTAGTTGTATGTGGAAGGTTGTTTTGAAAGTCAGATCTCAAGACTTTCTGTTTTATTTTATTGTTTTTTTTTTTTTCCTGGTGGATATTTTTGTTCTAAAGGTTTTGTGGCATCATTTTTAACATGAGTTGTCCAAAGACAAGTATTTCATGTGTTAATAACTCCAGAAATGCTAAACACTATTACTGTATTTTTGCCATTATTTAGAGAGTTCAGGGACAGATTTAGTTTGTTTGGGTCAGTGTTTTTTTAATGTGCCATAGTTTTGCTGAATGAACAGTTTTTGTTGTCCATGAAAGACGAGGTGCTCTACGTCAGGAAACATTTTCATGAAGATGAATCTATATGTCATCTTTTTGAAGCCCGTCAGCTCTGTTAACTAAGCAAAGGGATGGTTTTTGAACAACAAAATATTTTCTCTCTTTACAGTTTTTTTTATTTTGTATTTTTTAATAACAAGGAGAAGCACTTTGTGCAGGTTAACGTTGTAAATGCGGTTTATTTAAGCTAACTTCATGTCGTTGCCTCTCCTCGCTCACTGTCATGTCTTAAAAGATCACCAGATGGAAATGAGCCATCAAATTTTCTCAGAAAAGCCCAAACGTGTTGCCATGAAGATGTATTCAGACCAGTTCGATTATAGCACAATTTTCCACTTCATCAATGTTAAGGCATTTAAACGAGGCCCAACTGGTAAATAAAACGAGCTGTTTCAGTTTTATGATGTTTGATCTACTGTCAAGTCTCAGTCTCAGGGTTCTGGGGTGTGTCTTTTAGTGATGAGATACTTTTCTACTTTTTCTTTCATGTGTGTATGTGTGTGTGACCATCATTTTCTGATGCGAGGCTGTGTGAGGATCAGTTTTGTTTGTGTCATGTCCAAGATGTATGAACCTTTAAAAAGAGAACATTCTAGTTTAAAAAAATAACAGTGCATAGTACTACATCCAAAAAATTTTGTATTTTTAATGACGTGATGAGCAATAAAACTGGTGTTTAAATTTAAAAAGGAAAAAAAAAACACTTTCTCAGTTGTCCCCCCCCCCCCCCGTTTTATTGTCATACATTAGCCATCTTTCAGCAATGTTCACAATTACCCCGTTGCCTTTCTTACATTAATTAAAAAAGAGATAATCAAGTCCTTTTCTTAAACTTTCTGACGTGACAGACAGGAGACTGCTCAGGGGAATTTTCTGCTGCTGTGTGACCTCAAACTTTCAAGAGCTTTTCTGGACTGGAAACAAAAACTAATTTACAAGCAGATCATACTTTTATTCTCAATACATATTTATCTAAGCGCTATACAGCACCTTGCCCAGCGACTGCTCCTTCTCTTACCCTGAACAGGATAAAGCGAGTACAGCAAATGGAATAAGTTTTCAGTTTTTGTGTCTGTTAAATCACAGGAGTTAAAAACAAAATGCACTTTTTTATTTTGTGAGCTTTGTTTCCCTTTTTTATGTTGATCTGTTTAGGAATTACTACTACATATGTGTACTTTGTGCAGCAATGGTTGTCGAAGAAATTTAGATAAAGTTAATAAAGTTTTAAAACCATTTTTTATTTATGAGTTGGATGTTTTTATTGTCATTTTTTGTTGCTGTCTTTCTACCTAGAAAACCTTTGGATTAATACCTTTCTTTCAAATAAGCTACTCAAAATACATTTAAGACTCATACTAATCTGTAAAAATGACTTCTTAAGGAAGCACCCTTTTCTCAAAATTAGTTGTCAGTACGTGCAAACCAGCACTTATTTGATGAGTGAGTGATGAGAGCCAGTGGTGACCAGAATTATATTATCCCTGAAGTCCATGAACCCATATAATTTAAGACTATCAAAATTTAGAATGCCCATCATATTTTATACATACCCTTAACATTGCTTTGCAGACATTTAATAAGCATTGTGTTATATGTTCATTAAATTCAATTCATTTATTCATTTCATCAAAAAACAAACATTTCACACAACAAAACAATACAAATAAAATAAAATGAAAGGTAGCAGAAAAAGAAAAAAATTCATATATCTGCCCCTTTTTTAATTAAAAAATATTTTAAACTACGATAAAACAAAACAAAAATTTCAATTCCTCAAACAGTAACTAATACAGATTAAACAATTTCATATTTCTTTAACAATTTTTCTTTGTTTTCTTAAAGAAATTCACTGATCCAATGCTTTTACAGTCATCCTCCAGATTATTCCATAATCATACCTTTTACAGAAGTGCATCTGTCCTTTTTAAGTTTGTTTTGATTTTTGGTTTAACAAACATTTAATCCCTTCAAATTATAGCAGCTTTCCCTCTTAACAAAATGTGATTGGATGTTTGACGGCAACATTTCTATGAGCCTTATACATAACTTACAGAATGTTATACTCAACCAACTCATGAAATTTTAACAACTTTGATGAAACAATATATTAGATGGGTGATAGTTATGCTTTTTTGTGATAATTCCTATGGCTCTTTTTTATAAAATAAAAATAGGATTAGTAGTGGTTTTATATGCATTTCCCCAGACTTCTACATAATAAATCAAATGTGGAACAATTATTACATTAGTGTAAATAGTGCTTTATCATTAAGTAACTCCTTCGCTTTATACAATACTGCAATAGATTTTGCCATTTTTGTTCTTAAGTAATTTATATGAGGTCCATGTCAGTTTTTTGTCAATGATGACACCAAAAAACTTCACCTCATTTACTCTACGGATCTCTACACCCTCTACTCTAAATGGAACATCACTTGGTTTCTTTGTATTACTAAATATCGTTTGTTTTATCTAAATTTAATGATATTATGTTTAAAACAATTTTGTACTTTTACAAATTCTATTTCCATCATTTACAACATCTGTTCTATGTTATTACTCAAGCAAAAAAATGTGGTGTCGTCAGCAAATAAAACACATTTAAACAACCCTGATACATTTACCAAGTCATTAATATATAGGAGAAACAACTTTGGTCCCAATATAGAACCCTGTGGAACCCCAAATACAATATTACAAAGTTCTGATCTTACATCATTAATTTGTACAAACTGTTTCCTATTGGTTAAATAACTTGATATCCACTGTAATGCTGGACCTCTTATATTTGTTAATTTCTCCAGGAGGATACTATGGTCACTGGTATCAAATGCTCTTTTTAAATCAACAAAAGCACTGACAGTATTGTTTTTGATCAACGGCTGTTCTTATGTGTTCAATTAAGTGCATGGGAGCCATTGATGTTGAGTTATTAGCTCTAAAACCATACTGATTTTTTCTTAAAATATTTTGTTTATCGATGAACTGATCTAATCTGGTGACAAACAACCTTTCCAAAATTTTTGAAAACTGTGGTAGTAATGATATTGGTCTATAGTTTGTAAACATGTTTCTCATCACTCTTGTAGAGAGGGATTACTTTGGCTATTTTCTTGTTGTCTGGAACTATTCCCGTTGACAGTGATAGATTACAAATATATGTAAATGGTTCAATGACATAACCCATTATTTCCTTTATAAACTTCATATCCAACCAGTCTTTTGATTGTTTTTTGCTAGATTTGTTACAATATTCATTATTTCTTCTTTGTCAGTTTCCTTAAGACAAATACTGTTAGTACAACTCATTATTGTATGACTTACATTATTATCAACTTTTGGTATTTTAGCTGCAAGACTTGGGCCAACATTCACAAAACAATTACTGTATTAAATCTATTTACAATTTCATTTTGATCATAAATTACACTGTCATCCTCCAACAAATTATTGTGAAATGCTTGATTTTGTTTTATTTTTTAAAACACTACTCTCCATGTTGCCTTCATATCACTTTTACTTTTATCTAATAAATCACTGTAATATTCTTTCTTGTGTTTTCTCATAATCCATACTAACTTGTTTTTATACTTTTTGTATGTCTCTTCTGATTCTTTTGTTTTTAATTTCAAGAAGCATGAATGTAAAAGATTCTTTTTTTTTTTGCAAGCATTTCTCAACCCTTTTGTCATCCATGGCTTGTCAACAGTATTTTTCTTTGTATAATTGTTTTGGACACAGTGCTTTTCATTCAGATCTTCTAAAGTGTTCATGAAAACATTGTGCTTTGTTCACATCATCAACAAACACATCTTCCAGTTTTGTTTATTTAGATCATCTTTTAATTTATCCAACACTTTCTTTGATGTGTTTATTGTTTTTTTTTTCTTGATTGTAACTACTTTTGATCATTTTTAAAAATCATGAAAACTGGTAAGTGATCACTTACATCAGATGTCAAAATACCACCCAACTCTTCTCCATTTGTTACATTTGTAAAAATTTGGTCAATTATTGTTGAACTGTGAGTTGTGATTCTGGTAGGTTTCGATGTTAGTGGATAAATATTTAAACTGTGCATTGAGTTTATAAATGTACCAATTTTATTTGAGTCAGTTTTGTTACCCAGATCAATGTTAAAGTCACCACACAAAATGACTGTTTTGTTACAACTCTCTGCAAGGATGTTCATGATTCTATCACTAAATAGCTCAATGTTTGATTCAGGTGATCGATATACACAACTTATAATATTTTTTCATTAAAACGAAAAGCATGAATAAAATTATAGCTTTTTAAACGAGCAATGTTGTAAAGCTTGTTAAATATAATAGACGATGAAAAACAGTCTAAATTAAAACATTTTCATGGTTTTTTAAATAGTGATGCTTATTAGCTCTTTGTTCTTATTACAACCAGGTTTTAACTGAACTGATTTTACTTAGAATAAAGTCTTCCTACTGAATGTAAACACTTCTCTGTTGACCTTTGACCTGACTACAAACATATTAAAATCACTAAAGTGATCATGTGTTATATCTGAGTAATCTAGTAAAGATGGATATCTGAATGAAAACTGGCATTAAAAAATTTAATATCTAAGTTAAACAGCATCTACAAACTTAATTCAATCTGAGGAGATTAATGCATTTTATTATTTTTATTACTGTTTAGTTTGTTAATTTAAAAAAAATGAAATATTTGGAAATAATCAACTCAACTCAACTCAGGGAGCAGAATAAGAAGGAGGTCTCACTCTGCTTCAAGTTTCAAGAATAATATTTACCGACACTAAAATCAGTCAGTAACAGTAAGTTTAATGTGTTCTGTCCCTGTTGTACCACTTTTAGACCACCTCGGTCAGTTACTTTGTTTTCAGGAATGTTGTAGGATTTTGGAGCAGAGTGAGACCTCCTGCTCGTCCCGCTGCTCTCTGGTTCCCAGCAGGACGTCACATGACGGAGCAGGAGAACCTCCTGACTCCCGCTCCTCTTCCCGTCACTTCTCTGACTGCTCGCCGCCTCCCGTCGCTCTCAGCCCGCAGGAAGGACGCCGACATGACGGACGCAGCAGCCCGGGAGCCTCCGCCGGAGCTCACCGACTTCCACGAGGTGGAGGACGGGGAGGACCTGTTCCCGGAGCCGAGCCCCGCTCAGGAGGAGGTGAGGAGGAGGTGATGGAAGGGAGGGAGGGAGGCCGAATGGAAGCAGGAGCAGGCAGGCAGGACGTGATGTGATAAACATAAACATAAAGGAGCAGAAACCACCGGGAAACCTTAAATCCGTGTTTGTTTAACGAGGTCCGGCGCGTGAAGGCCTTTGTTTCTCCTTTCAAAGTAAAAGCATCTTTAAAATGTTGATAAAAACAGCAAACAAACCGTGGCCTTCACAGCTACAGGAGCCGAGCAGGGTCAGGGAGAAGGCGCAGTCAGGTGACAGGCACACAGGTGAGCGTGATGCCTTCAGGGGAGCTGGGAAAAACACAACCCTAACGTGCTTATTGAGCTTGTTTTTAGTTTCACAAATCAGTAATAGTTGAAAACATTGAGTTTTTCTGCACTTCATCCATCAGGTTACAGTTCTGAATGAAGCTCTGTCAAAATAAAATGTTTTTTAAATCACTAAAATCAGCCGTGTGTTTTTACAACAGTTTGTCTCTGAACAAACTAAAGAATATTTTTGGGTTTTTAGGTTTTATTAAGAGATTTAACTTTGAAAATCTTCGTGAACGTTTGATAAATGTTTGATTTTATATNATTTTACATTTTATTTCTTTATTAACAAGTAGAGCGACTCCACCACCACTTTTATTTCTTCTGTTCTTATTTACATTTAAGAAAAGAAGGGAAAAAGACTTTTAAAGATGTATTTCTTGGAGAAGTCCATCGCTGCTCCTGTTTTTGTCTCTGCGCATGCGCACATCCATATTGAACGCTGGAACTGTTGTCAACATGTCCACCGCTTCAGCTCCTCAAAACAATAACGAAGAGCCTGGGCTTCAAGGTACGTCGTGTCACCAGCTAGAATATGCACTACGCTGTTAATGTTACATCAATAATGTTGTTCAGGAATGTTGACATGGCTCAAATTATCGTTTTATTTAAAAAGTTGAACTGGAGATGGAATTTCCTCCTCTTCTGGTCAGGGTGGGGACTATATTGTTCTACGTCACCATAAAACGACCAATCGCTTCGCGATAAATCTTTGATTGACGCTTCAACAGCCAATCACGATAGTGATTTTGGGTTGAGGGAGCTATAGCCAAAATGAAAACAAGTTTGGGACAAAATGCGACGCAATTTTTATATATTATTCCACCATTGGAGATTGCGTCACAAATTTCTTCAAATAGAGTGCGCTGTAGTTGGAATTTATCATGTGAAATAGTTATATATAGGTTCAAAAGGGAATTAACTCTCTTTGCAAATTCCCAAAAAAGTAAATAAGTGTGGTGTAGCGTCTGAAAAATATTAAATCCTCCTTTTAGCATCGAGTCGTTAAGCCTTTGAGTGTTGGGACGTGTTGAGGTTGGTTTGTAACAGGGCAGGCTGGCTCACGCTGCACGCCACAGTTATGCAAGAGACCAACAGGGATGGCAGATCATTTACTGTCGATCCACCTTAATGCCCGGCCTTAAACCACGGAAATGACGTTTTATTGTCCAAACAAATAAGGGGCGTCCCTTGGCTGTCACAATGTCCACGGTTTATTTTTCAAGAGCTCTGCAGGTTTTAAGAGCTTACATAACTTTGTTTGTGGGGCAGTGGCACAAAGACATCCATGCTCTGAACTGGTGTAGGCCTGCTTTTAAAAAGTCATGGAGTCAGCTTGTCAGCTTTTCAAACACATCTAATTTCTCCTCTTTCTGCCACTCTGTGTTGTTCCGTTGCCAAGGCTCCTGGGTAGAGCTGGAGCTGAATGGAAACACAGAGGCACAGGGTGCTCAGACAGACCTGCTAATGGCTCCGGCTGCTGCAGACCAAATAAATGCAAATGCAGGCATGAGTCAAAGTGTCCAGACCTTAGACGTGGCCGAAAGTGACGAAACCCTGATTGGAGGTTTGGAGCATGTGCCGTCCACCTCTTCTATCCACAACGGGGACATGGAAAAGATCCTTCTGGATGCACAGCACGAGTCCAGCCCAAGTAACTCATCATGTGAAAGGTAGAGGCCTTAATGAGCGTTCAGTAATGGATTATTATTGAGTTATAGTTTGGTTTTAACACAAACACGCTGACAGTCCTCACAGGCCTCCAAGTCCAGGACAGGATGAAGGACAGATCATGTTTGATGTAGAGATGTCCAGCCCAAGAGACAGTCAGGTAAAGATGCCTATTTATAACTTTGATTTACAGAGGCATATATCATTTACTTCATTACAGTACGTGAGCATTGAGGATTTGTAATTTTATCAAGTATTTTTTATTGCAACTTTTACTTTTATTTTGTTACTTTCAAAACACAAAAATGATATCCCTCTGTTGATTTCAAACTTTATAACCTCTTTTAACCTTCGTGTTTTCAGTCAGAGGACGACAGCGCAGAGAAAGACAAAGAAGACGACATCCTGATGAACAAAGAAGTAGACTGGGTTGCCGACTGGTCCAGTAGACCTGAAAATGTTCCACCGAAGTAAGGAGACATCTACCTCCACAGAATCATCCAGTCTTCAGTTTTAAAAATGTATATATAAACGGTTGTGTGATTATTTCTTTTTAGGGAGTTCCACTTTAGGCACCCTCGACGCTCAGGATCCCTGAGTATGAGAAAGAGTGGAGTCATGAAGAAAGGAGGCATCTTCTCAGCCGAATTCCTCAAAGTGTTCATCCCATCCCTGCTCATCTCTCACATCCTGGCTCTCGGCCTCGGGTAAGATGAAACTCTTCTTTGTCTGATTTGCTTTTGTCAATCGGTTGAACTTTATTCTTGGCTTTTCTTCTCCACAGGGTGTACATTGGTAAGCGAATCGCCGCAGCCTCCACCAGCTCCTACTGAACCCAAACTGAAGCAGTGCCTGGATGTCCTCCTGCCTCCTCCAAGCCTAACATCCAACCTCTTCCTCCTCCTGTAGTCGCGCTTTCTCACTGTCTGCATCTGTCGTACGCCCCACACTTCTCCTCCAATCAGTGTTGACTGGTGTCACATTGTAGTTGTAGTCGTACTCACAGGGGGGTGTCCGGATTATTTTACACACAGTTACCGACTTGAATCTGAGTCGAAAAATACACCACCTGGACTCGATGGCAGGTCGTTTCAAGATAAAGTCACTGATATGGTCTTTTTTTTTCCCCCAACGAGCTAAACAAAAGCTGAACGTGCAGATAAATATTGTGAGCTTTAACTACAGCACAAACTATCTGACTATGGTGAACAAAAATACTTTTTTTTGTTGTTGTTCTTCCAGATTTTTGTCATTAACATTTCAGATACTGAATAATGCTGCACCTTGAGAGCCCGTTTGAAAATTCTGCACATTTTTTGAGGGTAGGAGTTGGATCACGTCGACCCCAGAGGACTTCTGATAAAAGCTTTATTTTCTGAAGGTTGGAAAGCTTAAAGGTCAGTGTATCTTTTGAATCTGTGTATCATTTGTTCTTTCTATTTTCAGTTGCTAATCAAAAGTCAAATAATGAAAAAGTGACTGGTTATTTTGTGTTTCTTTTTATTTTTTAAAACCAAAAACGAAAAACCGTCTGTTTTTTCATATTTCGTTTTTATGCTCAGATCAAAAACACAAAATGGATAAAGAACGAATGATACACAGATACAATCGATACACTGACCCTTAAACAATCAGTTGCATAGCTTCAAAAATTTTGACTCTAAAGTTATTGGAGTAGTTTATGATAGTGGAACCTAGAGCGGAAGGCAGTAAACCAGGCCATATGCTATTTTTATGCACCTACATATCCTGTTGTTAAATGTAAAAAATAACAGCAGCAGCCAAGTGCCAAATTATTTCTTTCACTACCGCACATTAGTGATTTATCTTAGGCTTTTTTGTTGTTGTTGTTGTTGTTGTTTCTTTTCATGTTTAGGTATTTTAAAAAATGCACATGTGAAGAATAATTGAAGCTGTGATCCGCCCTGTCTCACGTTGTATCTTTTTGTTATTACAGTGGTATTAATGCATATTGTACCTTGATGCTGTGGCAGTGTAACTAATGTGTTTTTGCTGTTGCTCAGTGGCAGAAATTACCACCACAGATTCAAGTATTTCCAGGGCTTCTTTTGAAAAGTGTCGACTGACTCTCTTGTAGATTTCACTGTACATTAGTCTCACATGTTAAAAGTTGAATCATGTGGATATGTCTGTGAAGCATCCGGCATAAAACTATAGACATCTGGAGGAAGATGCATGCTTTTTTCTGTATATTAATGCTGATTGCATAACTCCTTCCAAGCTGTTTGTAGATAAACTGCATTCTAACCATATATACAGTATAAAAAAGATTCTATACAACAATGGCTTAAATCTTCAAATATATCTTTATGTTTTAAACGGACCTGAATGCAAAGTGCATCTTTCTCATTCTAAGCATGATGTAAGAAAGATAGAAATAAATATTTGTGTCTGTAAACAACCACAAAGCAGGAAATAATATAAATCAGAAAACACTCAGGATATGTCAGAAGTGAAGTATTGTGTAGTGATTTACCACATTTACAAATAACTCATTGGGCCACAATGCTGCGCAAAAAAACAATAGTAAAAAAAAGCTAAATCAAACACAAAAGACTTAAAAACTTGATAAGACATAAAATAAAAACTTTTACAATGATCCTTAAATATCATTTAAATGCTGTATTAAAGGCCAGTGAGTACAAATGTGTTTTAAGATTAAACCTAAAAACATCAAGAAGCTGTTTGATATGTCAGCTTGTTCCACAGTGTAGGAGCTACAGCTGAAAAGACCAACCTGGACCTCAGAACAACAAACTGCAGTCATGAGAGGCCGGCCTGGCTAACACCAACATACAGATCTGCAATACCAAGATATTCTTGGCATTCTCTTGATGAGCTTCAAGAGGTAGTCAGCTGAAATGGTCTTCCAACAGTCTTTAAGGAGTTTCCAGTGATGCTTAGCACTTGTTGTCCTGATGCATCTCAGTAATCCAGGTAAAAAAATCAAAAGGAAAAAAATTGTATAGGTAGTCCAGAGGACCTATACAATTTTTTTCCTTAGCACTTGTTGGCTCTTTTGCCTTAACTCTGTGGTCCAGCTCACCCCAAACCATCTTGATTGGGTTCAGGTCCGGTGACTGTGGAGGCCAAGTCATCTGGCGCAGCGCCCCATCACTCTCCTTGGTCAAATAGCCCTTACACAGCCTGGAGGTGTGTTTGGGGTCATTGTCCTGTTGAAAAATAAATGATGGTCCAACTAAATGCAAACCAGATGGAATAGCATGCCACTGCAAGATGCTGTGGTAGATATGCTGGTTCAGTATGCCTTCAGTTTTGAATAAATCCCCAACAGTGTCACCAGCAAAGCTCCCCCACACCATCACACCTCCTCCCCCATGCTTCACGCTGGGAACCAGGCATGAAGAGTCCATCCGTTCACCTTTTCTGCATCGCACAAAGACACAGTGGTTGGAACAAAGATCTCAAATTTGGACTAATCAGACCAAAGCACAGATTTCCACTGGTCTAATGTCCATTCCTTGTGTTCTTTAACCCAAACAAGTCTCTTCTGTTTGTTGCCTGTCCTTAGCAGTGGTTTCAGCTATTTTACCATGAAGGCCTGATTCACAGTCTTCTCTTAACAGTTGTTCTAGAGATGTGTCTGCTGCTAGAACTCTTTGTGGCATTGACCTGTTCTCTAATCTGAGCTGCTGTTAACCTGTCATTTCTGAGGCTGGTGACTCGGATGAATTTATTGTCCCCAGCAGAAGTGACTCTTGGTCTTCCTTTCCTGTGCCGGTCCTCATGTGAGCCAGTTTCTTTGTAGCGCTTGATGGTTTTTGCGACTGCACTTGGGACACTTTTAAAGTTTTCCCTATTTTTCGGACTGACTGACCTTCATTTCTTACAGTAATGATGGCCACTCGTTTTTCTTTACTTAGCTGCTTTTGTCTTGCCATAATACACATTCTAACAGTCTATTCGGTAGGACTATCAGCTGTGTACTGTATCCACCTTCTGCACAACACAACTAGCAAGAAATCCCACATTAAACCTGATAGGGCACATATGTGAAGTGAAAACCATTTCAAGTGACTACCTCTTGAAGCTCATCAAGAGAACGCCAAGAGTTTGTGAAGCAGTAATTAAAGCAAAAGGTAGCTACTTTGAAGAACCTAGAATATGGCATATTTTCAGTGTTTCACTTTTTTTTTTGTTAAATATATAATTCCACGTGTTAATTCATAGTTTCGATGCCTTCAGTGTGAATCTACAATTTTCATAGTCATGAAAATAAAGAAAATTCTTTGAATGAGAAGGTGCGTCCAAAATTTTGGTCTGTACTGTATATTAAAGGCACCAGCCACTTTGTTAGGTGCACATTGCTAGTACTGTGTTGGACCCCCATTTGCCTTCAGAACTGCCTTTATCCTTTGTGGTATAGATTCAACAAGGTACTGGAAACATTCAGAGAGTCTGGTCCATATTAACATGATAACATCATGCAGTTGCTACAGATTTGTTGGCTGTACATCCTTGATGTGGATCTCCTGTTCCACCACATCCCAAAGATGTTCTATTGGATTAAGATCTGATGACTGTGGAGGCCATTTGAGTACAGTGAACTCATTGTCATGTTCAAGAAACCAGTCTGAGTTGATTTGCACTTCATGACATGGCATGTTATCCTGCTGGAAGTAGCCATCAGAAGATGGTACACTGTGGTCATGAAGGGATGGACATGGTCAGCAACAATACTCAGGTAGGCTGTGGCATTGGCATGATCCTCAGTTGGTACTAATGGACCCAAAGTGTGACAGGAAAATATCCCCCACACCATTGCACCACCAGCCCGAACCGTTGATACAAGGCAGGATGGATCCATGCTTTCATGTTGCTGATGCCAAATTCTGACCCTACCATCCGAATGTCGCAGCAGAAATCGAGACTCATTAGACCATGAAAGGTTTTACCAATCTTCTATTGTCCAGTTTTGGTGAGCCTGTGTGAATTGTAGCCTCAATTTCTTGTTATCAGCTGCCAGGAGTGGCACCCGGTGAGGTCTTCTGCTGCTGTAGCCCAACTGCCTCAATGTTCAACGTGTTGTGCGTTCAGAGATGTTCTTCTGCAGTCCTCGATTGTAACAAGTGGTTATTTGGTTGCCGTTCTATCAGCTTGAACCAGTCTGGCCATTCTCCTCTGACACTCAGACCAGCCCGTCTGGCACCAACAACCATGCCTCGTTCAAAGTCACTTCTTTCCCATTCTGATGCTCTCTGCAACAGCAGCAGATTATCTTCATCTTCTTCTTCTTGTGGAGTTTAATGGTGGCCGGTTGGCTAGAAACTGAACGAGTGCATTACCGCCACCTAGTATGGAGTGTGGTTCGAGATAATGTAATTATGTGTGTTCTACTGTAAACTCAAACAATTCCCCCCCCCCAAAAAAATCTTATTATAATTTGTATATGTTTGCTTCACAACTTCCTTTGCAGTTTGTTCATTATGTTAACCTTTTCCTTAATATTTCCAAATTGTCTCATCATAAATCTTCTTTCTTGTTCATATTTCCAACTTGAGATTATATATTTTATATTTTATTTCTTATTTTTTTTCTATGTAAAAACCATAATAACTTTTTTTTCGACTGAGAACTTAAATCCCCACTTGAATGTACATTTGTCTGTTTCATAAATAACAGTTTGTATTTTCTTAATGATAAATTGTACATTTCGGCCTCTTTTCCATACAGCTCCACTGTCTGCAAATAATGAACAACCCATCGCACTTCCAGTGTCATTAAATATGTCATTTATCATGATAGAGAATAATATTGGACTGATAATGCTCCCTTTAGGTGGTCTGTTTGATATTTTCTTGACAGTTTTTGACTTTTTCACCTGTATTGTTCTGTTCAATAAAAAAGGTTTGTATTACATGTAAACATTTTCCGTGAATTCCTATTAGTTGTAGTTTAAACCTTCTACCCAAAACATATGATTTTTCGATATAAAAAAATACCACAACCACACTTTCTTTATATACCTACATTTTCCTGATTTCATGCTTTAGACATAGTGTCGGATTGTTAGTATTTCTCCCTTTTCAAAAATCTTTTTGATACCTGGATAAATACAGTATTCTTTACTGTTTAAATAATATATTATTCTATCAATCGATTTTTACATTATTTTACAAATATTTGATGTCAGGGCTATTGGGTCTGTAGGTCTATAATTTTCCAGTTTTGGTGTTACTGTATTACTGGTTCTTTCCAGCTCTGGTAGTTCCCCCACCTACCAGACTTTATTATAAAATGTTAGTATTCTTTGGATGATTTATTGAGGTTCTATCATTGTATACAAAATCTGATCTTGACCAGGTGCTGTATTTTTGGTTTTCCAGAGTGTTTTATTTAGTTCTTTTTTATGGTTTAGATATTTTGTTCCTTCAATATTCTCTCATTATATTCAAGTTTTGTTAATTCCCTGCTTTTCCTTCCCTCTTCACTGTTTCTCGAGCTATGAATTTGACTAAATGCTTTTGCTAGTATTTCAGATTTTTCCTAATCTTTTATTATATTTGTGTTATCTGTGTTAAATATTGGAAATCCATAATATTTTTAATACCATTCTTTTAATTACTTTCCAAATGCTTTCAGTCTTGGTTTCTTTCTCTATAGTGTTACAAAAGTTGCTCCAATGTTGTTTTTTGTGTTTTTAACAACTTTACCGTAGCTTGTTTTCTTCTATACTCAATTAGGGTTTGATAGACTTGATTATTTTAAAAATATTTTAAATGCTTTATTTCTCAGTGCTTCACTATACCTCACTTGTATTTTATGTATGTATGTATGTATGTATGTATGTATGTATGTATGTATGTATGTATGTATGTATGTATGTATGTATGTATGTATGNGTATGTATGTATGTATGTATGTATGTATGTATGTATGTATGTATGTATGTATGTATGTATGTATGTATGTATTTGTATTTGTATTTGTATTTGTATTTGTAGTGAGTGTAGGTTTTGTAATATTAGTGGGTGAAGGTCCTCCTGTTTACCATGGATCTAGATGAGCAGGGCGGGGCAGTGCGCATGCGCCGTCCCTCTTTGTGGCCCCTGTCTTCTTGATTGTTGTCTGGTCTTCAGGGACCCGTTCTGTCATTAAATCCAGGGGTAGCAGTGCAAAGACACAACTCGATTTGCACCAGTTATTCAGTTTCACTGTGAAAACACACATTTCCCGTTGTTAGAAACGGACAGAAACCGATTTGTATTCAGCCGCCGGGGCGTCGACTGGCCAACAGAGCATCCATCCATCCTTTCATAAGCTAGCGTTAGCCGAGAGGCAGGGGGACCGCTGAGCGTCAAAAATGTCTGGTTATCAAGGAAAGAAGAACATCCCACGAATTACAGTGAGTATCGAGTCAATGTGATATTTTCTGTCCCTCACTGGTGGATATATTTTGAAATTGCGGCGCGCACCAGGATTAGATCAAAAAAAGCTACATCGCTTAGCCGCCGTTATCTTCTCATTCAACAGCACTTCCGCCTCAGAAGCTAAAAATAGGGATAAACTGTAAATACATCCATTAGCAAGCTCTTGCTCTTTTCATCACATAGAGCTTTGGTATGTTCCCCTTTTTAAAACACACTGATAACTTGTGTAGCTGCATCGCCTCTCTCTGTATTTCTTCATTAGCATCCTCTCATCAACTTCCTGTCATCATCTGACATCTGTTTTATGTCTGCTCTCCTCACTGCCTCAGTAGGGTTTGATTTGACGTGGTTAATAGAGAAGTTATACCCCTCAATGGGGCTGTTGAGTGTTCACTTGTTAATGTCATGTAGTGAGGGTTGAACCCAGATCATTCAGGTTTGTCAGGTCACCTTCTGGTCAGGGTTATAAACATGCAATTATACTGTAACAACTGTAATTACCCCCTTTGGGACCAATAAAGTCTTTTTGAATTGATTTGAATTTAATTGACTTAACGACATCTCAGAGACCCTCCCACCCCTCCAGGCCTTCAGACTCTTCCACTAGGGCTGCCACAAACGATTATTTTAATAATCGATTAATCACCAATTATTTATTCGATTAGTCGACTAATCGAATCATATGTTAATTGAATATAAAACATAGAGCTTATCACGTCAGAATGCAGCTGCTATTATACAACCATCGTTAGATTTTAGCTATATGCTAACTAAAAATAATTGCTGTGGAAGACAAGTTCTGCTCTGCAGATATTGCACAGGTTTCTCTTTCATTTTCTTAAAATGATCCCACACTTTTGAGCTCCGTTGCAGAGTAGCCATGATACCAGAGCCTGTCTGTATAATGTCTTGTGACGTCCACGGCCTACCCCAGTTACCACTACTGTGCATGTGTGTCAAGGACAGAAAGGCAGATGTGGCAGTGGAACGTGTCAAAGCAGTTTGGAGAGAAAAACAAAGTAAAGAACAAAAAAAGAAAACGATTAATCGATTATTAAATTAGTCATCGATTATTTTAACAATCGATTAGTCGTCGATTAATCGATTAATCGTGGCAGCCCTATCTTCCACAGACCCTGGTATTGGTCCAGAACAGTAAATCACTCTGCAAAGCTTTCAACAAGACGCCAAGTTAGAATAGAATAGAATAGAATAGAATAGAATAGAATAGAATAGAATAGAATAGAATAGAATAGAATAGAAACAGCCTTCATTGTCCCGCTTGGGGAAATTCAGGTGTAATAGCAGCAGCACATACATTCATCAATCCACAGAAACAGTATATTACTATGTGACATTATCAACTGTAGCAATAATAATAGAATTAAGTTTAGCCTTTAAGTAACATTGTCATGTTGCTACAGCAGAAATTGTATGCAGTATATTTGTTTTTTTAATTTAAAATTCATCAGTTTGTTGGCCTCAGTCTTTTAGTACAGCTGTAGTGTGTAAAATTCTGTGCTAATAACTCTGTCACTTTATGACATATTAATAATACTTTACGAGAGAATATATTACATTCTTTATTTTATTTTCACCTTTGTGTTGTGTTTTTTATACAGGCAGGTGTTTTTACTCTGCAAAACGTCTCATAATATGACAAATTTAAAATATCGAAAGTACCGGGAAATCAAATATTACTTTAAAGCATTGTTTTTGCCATTTATTGTCACAAAGAAAGAATTTGTTACGTCTGTTGTATTCAATTGTGTTCCTTCAACAACCTGCCTCTGCGTGTATTTTGATGCGTTCAACAGCTCCTCGTTCCACTCAGAGTCCAGGCTGTGCTGCTTGGCACTTGAAATTCCACAAACATTCAACTCTTAAATCTGATTATTTCTCGTTGGGAGGCTTTCAGTGTACTGTACATCTTTGGTTCTCATTAGCTCGCTGTGCTTTCCGTAGAGGGTGCAGAAAAGCCTGGAGTAGAAGTAGGCCATCCTGGTTCGCTGTCGTTTCATCTCATTCAGGAGGAGCTAATTGTGCCGCTCTAGACTCGGTGCTTTTATGTAAGGGTTTTAATCAAAACCTGCTTCCCTTTCAAGTGATGTTTTATGAGCGACGAGTCGTGCAGCGTAATCCTAATTATTGTTTTCATAGGATGAGCATAGACTAAATTAATGAGCACTTGGGTAATCTTAAGTGGGTGTTTCCTGACACGATGGAAAGGTTGTAGAGGGTTTTTTCACCAAACTTGGAAAATACGCAAATAAGTCACAAATGTCCGTTGTTTTTATGTAAAAATCAAAGAGGGTTTCTTTAAAATTTGTATTTACTGTTAACGTATAATACTTGCTAAAAGTAAATATTTTAAATTAACAATTGTTAAATGTCTTTTCAGAGTGACCGTCTCCTCATCAAAGGAGCGAAGATAGTAAACGATGATCAGTCCTTCATGGCAGATATTTACATGGAAGATGGAGTCATCAAGTAAGTCCTGATTGAAAATGAACAAAGCTGCTTATTTATTTATTTGTTTGTTTGTTTTAGGGATGCGCAATAACTCATTTTAAGAACCGATAACTTTCTCCTTCTAATGGCCGATAACCGATAATAACCGATAACATGCCAAGAGATAAGACTAGTCAAAAATGGGTAAGATCATAACATAAATAAACACCAAAGCCAAGAGACACTGTAAATTATACCATTTGAAATAAACTCTTAGCAAACAAACATTTCTTATAGTATATCAAACAGAACAATTTCTCAAATGGCCATTTTTTTAAAATAAGGCACATTAATTATTAAAAGACCTTTAACACTGATCTCAGATTTAAACAAAAGAGAAAAAGTCATTCCACAAGTTCAAAACAGATATTGCACTAACACTAGTTAGATTCAAATTACATTTGTTTTATTGTTATTAATATATGATTTAAAACATTTTTCTACCTGAAACAGGGCTTCTGAGATAATAGTGCAGAAATGATAACCTGTCAATCAAAGTCTGAATGCATTACGACTGCATCATACTTAAAGGAACACACACAGAGAGCAGCAGCTTGGTATGACAAACCATGGTTAACAAGGTGATAAAAGCTTCGGTCTTTAACGAGGGTGAATGATTGGTTGTCATCATTTCCATCGTTAAAGTGCTTGAGATCTGCGTCCTCTCTGGCAATTTTATTGGAGTTGTCAAAAGTTTCAGCAATGACTTAAGTCCCGATGAGTTCTTGAACACTAACTTGTTGTTAGCATTTTAGCAGACGGACTTTGTGCTGCATTCAGGAGGTAACGGATGTTACTTGCTCTCAAATTGGGAGTACGGTAGTTGTTCCGATGTTTATAATTATAAAGCTTGTGTGTAACATACAGGGTTAATTGGTAAAATAATAATAATTCTTAAAATGACTGGGTTTTTTTTCAACACGGAGTATTCAAATTATTTTTCTAGTTAGAAAGTCGTTTATTCTGACGCAACTTGAACGTTGCTCAGGTCGTGTCGGATGGTCAAACGGATAAAAATAAACATGCATTCTCATCACCACGCTGGTAAACATGTACATATATTATTGGTTCTGTTTGTTATGATATTGGACTGATAAGTATGACGTCATAATTCCCTGATATCGGGCCGATAACTATCGTGCACCCCTAGTTTGTTTATTTATTGTTTTCCATTTAATGTGTATTAAGTTTCTGCCATTCATTTTGTTTTTATGCACCTATCATGTTTTGGTTTCCTTCAGGCAAATTGGAGACAACCTCATTGTTCCAGGCGGCGTGAAGATCATCGAGGCTCACGGACGCATGGTGATGCCCGGGGGGATCGACGTGCACACCCGATTCCAGATGCCCGACCGAGGCATGGTGGCAGCGGACGACTTCTACCAGGGCACCCGGGCTGCTCTGGCTGGGGGCACAACCATGATCAGTGAGGGCAGCGTTTGTGCTTCAGCCTGTTCACCATCGTTGTTGGCATCACAGCCAAGTTCGTGCAGCTGAGTGTGGTATTTCATTCAGCAGAAACAAACTTGTGTTTTTATTTTCTGTAGTTGATCACGTGGTGCCGGAGCCTGGTGTCGGCCTGGTCGCTGCTTTCAAACAGTGGAGGGAGTGGGCCGATGGCAAGTCCTGCTGCGATTATTCCTTGCACGTGGACATCGTGGAGTGGCACAGAGGCTTGCAGGAGGACATGGAAGCGCTGGTGAAGGATCATGGTTCGTAGGCAACTCTGGCAGCTAAAAACTTCTGCTGTTTCTTTGGTTTTGCACGAGGAAACGGCTCAACACTTGCAGGGATAAAAAAAAAATCTCTATATATTTCTATGTTTGCTTCACTTTTCTTCTGTTTTTCCCCCACCTTTGCTTCCACCTTTTGGCTGCTTTCTCTTTCTGTCTTCAGGTGTCAACTCTTTCCTGGTCTATTTGGCTTATAAGGATGCTTTCCAACTTTCTGACTCTCAGGTATGCTCGGCTTGTGCTCCGCTTCAGTGGGATCTTTGCTGATTTGTTTGTCGCAGGCTTATTGGCTGAGAGGTGTGTTTGCTTCAGACACCCGCTCTACCTGCTGACTGGTGTGCGTCTCTGTCCTCGCAGATCTACGAGGTGTTCAGCGTGGTCAGAGATCTTGGAGCCATTGCTCAGGTCCATGCTGAGAACGGAGACATTGTTGCAGAGGTAAGAAAACGACACGTTTTGGTTTGAGTCGTAGGGATTTGTTTCTGTTTGGTACTGTGTGGTTGTTTGATGGTTGTTGTTGCACACACCTTTTGTTGCTCCTGAGATGCACTTTCTTGTGCAAGAAGAGGGTGAAAAGTTCTCACAGGAGGTTGTGACAAGAAGAAGTGGAAGACTCGAAGCTGCGAACAAAATGATGCAGTTTCATCAGGCAACTGCGACAAAATTAACATATTAAGTAGGGTTGGGCATAATCGTATCATCTGCAATTAATCGTCAGAAAAACATTAATCGATTTCTTTTTGGCACTTGACGATTAATATGATAAATGCCACCAGGTAGACTGACTGGGGATTACTCCGGTCAATCTGCTTGGTGCTCCTCTCCGCTTCAAATATGATGAACTTAAAAAAAAATTCTGTAATTTATTTATCTATCAACACAATTTAAAATTTGATGTATAGCCTGAAATCTGTAATTTTCTCACAATTTGAAACAATTTTTTAGAAAGATCAAATCCTTCCCACTAAATTGGTCATGTGACTACGAAATAAGGAAGTCCAGGGACTCCAGGGGATTAATCGTCAAATTAATCGTTATCGGATAAATACCACAATTAATCGTGATTAATTTTCTTGCCAATATTGCCCAACCTTAATATTAAGTTACAAAAAACATCTATTAGGTTTATTAATAAAGTGGGATATCATAAACCAACTAATAAACCTTTTATTCAAAGTAACACTTTAAAATGTCAGGACATTGTATACATAAAAAGATTTTATGTATACATTTTTATGTTATGTATTTTTATTAAAAATACTAGAAATAACATATAAAGCGTTGAATAAAAGTCTTCCTTCTGGAATTCAGAAATGGTTTAAGTTAAGAGAGAGTGAATATAATTTACGAGGTTTGTTAATCTTTGAACACGCTAAAGAGAAAAGTAAAATAAAATCTAGATGTGTTTCAGTTATCGGTGTGAAATTATGACGAGTTGAATGGTGATCTCAAATTATGTGCTTTTTTGGTGAGCTTTAATAGAGCCTTAAAATGTAACATTATAAAAGCTTATATTGTTACATAGATTTAGATTTGTATTTTCAGAATCAGAATCAGAATACTTTAATGATCCCTGGGGGGAAATTGTAATTATTACAGCTGCAACCGTTCAAGTAAGAATTAGAGATAAAGTATGAAGGAAGAATATTAGAACACACAAGGAAAAAATAAGTATAAACACTCTGGATGAACTCAGAAAACAATGAGCATTCTTTAGCATCTATACAGTGTAAATAGAAATAACAGAAACTGAAGCTAAAAACAGAATGACTGATGCAAAGGTTCCATCAGATCCCATCTAATATTTTATAACAATGTATGCATATAATGTATGAATGTGTGTATATGTATACACATGTATATTTAAGGTACAGTGGGGTGCGAAAGTTTGGGCAGCCTTGTTAATTTTCCTGATTTACCTTTATAAATCATTGATTGTTTGGATAAAAAATACCAGTTAAATACAGTATATCATATAGGGGACAAACACAGTGACATTTGAGATGTGAAATGAAGTTTATATGATTTACAGAAACTGCAATAATTGGTTAAATAAAATTAGGCAGGTAAATAAATTTAGGCACTGTTGTCATTTTATTGATTTCAAAACCTTTAGAACTAATTATTGGAACTTAAATTTGGTTTGGTAAGTTCAGTGACCCTTGACCTCCATACACAGGTGACTCCAATAATGAGAAAGTGTATTTAAGGGGGGCAATTGTAAGTTTTTCTCCTCTTTGCATCTTCTCTGAAGAGTGGCAGCATGGGAGTCTGAAAACAACTTTCAAATGAGCTGAAAACAAAGACTGTTCACCATCATGGTTTAGGGGAAGGATACAGAAAGCTATCAGAGATTTCAGCTTTCAGTCTCCACTGTGAGAAACTGTGAAAAAATGGAGGACCACAGGCAAAGTTCAAGTGTAGGCTCCAAGTGGCAGAACAAGACAAATCTCCAATAAACAGAAGTGAAGGACGTTGAGAACAGTCAGAGTCAACCCACAGACCAGCACCAAAGACCTACARCATCATCTTGCTGCTGATGGAGTCACTGTGCATCGTTCAACTATTCAGCACACTTTACACAAGGAGATGCTGTATGGGAGAGTGATGCAGAGGAAGCCTTTTCTCCACCCACATCACAAACAGAGCTGATTGAGGTATGCTAAAGCACATTTGGATAAGCCAGCTTCATTTTGGAATAAGGTGCTGTGGACTGATGAAACTAAAATAGAGTTATTTGGGCAGAACAAGGGCCGTTCTGCATGGAGGAAAAATAATACAGCACTCCAAGAAAAACACCTGCTACCTACAGTGAAATTTGGTGGTGGTTCCATCATGCTGTGGGGCTGTGTGGCCAGTACAGGGACTGGGAATCTTGTTAAAGTTGAGGGACGCATGGATTCYARYCAATATCAGCAGATTCTGGAGACCAATGTCCAGGAATCAGTGACAAAGCTGAAGCTGCTGAAGCCGGGGCTGCATCTTCCAACAAGACAACCACCCTAAACACTGCTCAAAATCTACTGAGGCCTTCATGCWGAGGAACAAGTACAACGTTCTGGAATGGCCATCTCAGTCCCCAGACCTGAATATTATTGAAAATCTGTGGTGTCACTTAAAGAGATCTGTCCATTCTCAGAAACCATCAAACCTGAATGAACTAGAGATGTTTTGTAAAGAAGAATGGTTTAAAACAGTAGTTCCCAAACTTTTCAGCTTTTGACCCACAAAATAACAGCAGCAGAGACCTGTGCCCCCAACTATTTTTGGATGATAAACATTTATATCAGGTCAACAAAACATGGGCATTGTAAAAATATTTTTATACTACACTTATCTATTTTAAATAAACTAACCTCACTCATTTGTAACAACTAAGGCAAAAATGTCATTAATTCAGAAACTTTTTTCAGGACCCCACCTTGATGTTTCGGGACCCCACTTTGGGTCCCGACCCCAACTTTGGGAAACACTGGTCTAAAATACCTTCAGCCACAATCCAGACTCTCATTAGAAGCTATGGGAAGTGTTTAGAGGCTGTTATTTATGTGAAAGGAGGAGCTACTAAATATTGAGTTAAGGTTTTTTTTATGGTGCCCAAACTTACTGTATGCACCTGCCTAATTTTGTTTAACCAATTATTGCACAGTTTCTGAAAAATTATATAAACTTCATTTCACTTCTCAAATATCACTGTGTTTGTCCTCTATATGTTTTACTGATGTTTTTTATCCAAACAATCAATGATTTATAAAGGTAAATCAGGAAAATTAATAAGGCTGCCCAAACTTTCGCACCCCACTGTATATATAGGTTTGTATAGGGACAGTAGATGTTTCTATTTTGTAGAGTGAGAGAATTTAATGAAGGTAAGTAGGCAAGTATAAGCCTTGGCTTCAGCCTACTCCTCCTTTTTTGGTAAATCATTGATTTGTATTTGTAAAATAGTCTCATTTTTTTATTGTAATGTTGTAAATGTACCAACATAAATCTAATCTAAATGAGAGACAATTTCCTTGGCTCAGATGGAGCATACTGGGCACTTAATTCTCTTGTGTGGTTGTTTAAGGAGCAGAAACGCATATTAGAGCTTGGGATCACCGGTCCTGAAGGCCACGTGTTGAGTCGCCCAGAGGAGGTAAGTGGTCCTGCACTGCTCTTCAACAAGAAGACACGACTTTAAATAAACCTGTGACCTATGTCCTAATGTGTGTTTTTGTTTGCAGGTGGAGGCTGAAGCAGTCAACCGCTCCATCACCATCGCCAACCAGACCAACTGCCCCCTCTACGTTACGAAGGTGATGAGTAAGAGTGCGGCTGACATCATTGCTCTTGCTAGGAAAAAGGGTAAAAAAATAAACTTCTTCTACTGTCGGTGCTGTGGGTATTTTTGGGTTTCGAGCCTGACACCAACCTGTCTGCTGCTGTAGGTGCCGTGGTTTACGGGGAGCCTATATCTGCTAGCCTGGGCACAGATGGTACCCATTACTGGAGTAAGAACTGGGCCAAGGCCGCAGCCTTTGTCACCTCTCCACCGCTCAGCCCTGATCCCACCACCCCCGACTACCTCAGCTCTCTGCTGTCATGGTAAGCAGTCTGGGCCCGGACCTAAAGATAGCTGGAAAACAGCGACACGACATCTGTTGTTGCATTTCATATTTACCCAGCTGGATCTGTCTTTGTCACCACATGCTTCCTGAAATCCCCAGCTGTAAATCATAGATATAACATGTAAGATATAAGTAAAATATTTTTCTTGCTTCTTTTTTCGTATCTAGTGGGGACCTGCAGGTGACTGGTAGTGCTCACTGCACTTTCCATACTTCTCAACGTGCAGTAGGCAAAGATAACTTCACCATGATTCCAGAGGGCACCAACGGCACTGAGGAGAGGATGACCCTTATCTGGGACAAATGTGTGGTGAGCTTTATATGACATAGTTTCAACACTTTGTCAAATGTTACAACCTGACTTAATTCGTTGTTAATCTGCTATTGTGTTTTGTTTTTTGTTTTGTTTGCTTTTTGTCCTGTCTAAATAGGTGACAGGAAAGATGGATGAAAACCAGTTTGTGGCGGTAACCAGTACAAACGCAGCCAAGATTTTCAACCTGTACCCGCGCAAAGGCCGCATCGCTGTGGGGTCCGATGCCGACCTTGTGTTGTGGGACCCTGATATGACCAAGATCATCTCAGCTAAGAGCCACAACCTGGTCAGTCAGATATTTTGGGTCATATTTGCCGACCTGTTCAGTTTTCTGTATGTTCTTATGTTTTCATAACTTTTATGTCACAGTTTTTGCAAATTTGTCAAAATTTTGTTGTCGCTATTCTGCTCCAAAACACTTTAAAACAGCCTGAAACTGAAAAAAACCATAACCGATTGGTAGGAGACCCCTTAAAACAGACTGAAACTGAAAAAAAAAATAAAAACATAACCGATTGGAAGAAACCCCCCCATAAACCACCAAAAAAACATCACTCTGTAAAAAAAAAACTCTGTAAAAAAGTCAAAACTGAAATTCAAAATGGCTGGATGTACAAGTCTTCTCTTTCAGACATCATTTAATTAATCTGTAAATAAAAAGTTTCTGCGCAGCTATATAGCCGTAAACCCCTCTCTCAAACTAGAATGTACCGCTCTGGAAGCTGGAGGTGGGCGGGGTGCCTCGTTTGGTTTTAAAGAGCGTCTCGAAATGAGTTGGTCTGAGACACACCTCAGAAAAAGGGCTGAAAGAGGGGCTTGTGTAGCTACAATAAGGTGGAATTCAAACCAAAGCATCTCAGTTCTTTTATTTTTATCGTTTCATCAAACCTGTTCTCCTGCCACAGGCTGTGGAGTATAACATCTTTGAGGGGACTGAGGTACGTGGGGTTCCTCTGGTGGTGATCAGCCAGGGCAAGATTGTGTTGGAAGACGGTACCCTTCACACCATGGAGGGCTGTGGACGCTACATCTGCCGTAAACCCTTCCCCGATCACGTGTACAAGAGGATAAAGGCTCGCAGCAGGGTGGGTTTTTACTCAGCAGGCGCTCCCAGCGCGCTGTCTAAAGCTTCTGTCTGATGAATTGAACTGTCCGCTCAGCTGACGGAGCTGCGAGGAGTCCCCAGGGGCCAGTACGACGGGCCGGTGTGTGAGGTGACTGTGACTCCCAAAGTGATGTCCACGGTGTCCTCTGAGAAGACGTCCCCCTCTAAGCAGCAGCAGCAGCAGTTCATTCACCAGCCGGTGCGCAACCTCCACCAGTCTGGCTTCAGTCTGTCCGGTGAGTGACCCATTAACATTTCATTTTTGGCAGCCGGTGTACCTCAGCGTTCAGGTTCTATTGTGTTTTATCCTTTTATATATTTTTAAAGGGGCCCAAATTGATGACAACGTACCTCGTCGCACGACCCAGCGCATCGTGGCGCCCCCTGGTGGAAAAGCTAACATTACCAGCCTGGGCTAAGCTGCTTCCTGAATGGAGCTGGGGTGCAGGGAGACGCCGGTTACTAAAGTCACATCACATCTCCCACTCACCCTGCACCCACACTTCTAATTTTGATTTACACATTACCACCATGTCACCTCATGCAAAACAAACAAACAAAAACAACAACAAGGCACTACTTCATGTTTTTCACCTTTCCTACCATATTTCACTTAAACTTGCTTGTTTACATTTTTTTTCTGCACACGTTTAAACGGTTTTCCAAACAGATCAGAATGCTTGACAAGGACCCATTAGAAGCAGAGAAGCTTTTCTTTTGTTCCTCATGTCTTAGTTTAGATTGTCATGTTTCTTAAAAATTTTACTTAAACACATCCATCCACAGGAGGGCGTCCACATCCAGATATAATAACAAATAAACAATAAGTCCACATCATAACTATAGAGAATAATCGTGCCAAACAGGATGATTGGGATCATTTTTGAAGGGATTTGATAAAAGATTTTTAAAAAATCCTAAAAATTTGAATTGATCATTTTTACCCTTCTGTTTATAAACAAAAAGTTCTTGTTCTTCATGTGGATTGCCCTCAAATCTCTGTTTCTTGAACTGTTTTTGACCAAATTGCACGACTGATTATGAAAAATCGGAAAACTGGAGTAATTTAATGGCAGAATCTTTTTTTCTCTTTAGTGTTTCACAGGTTTTACTTGCAGTATTTGATGTTTGTTTGTTTTCTCCTCAGCGGAGCGGTTCACCCATGTCTTCCTTTTTGTGTTACACTTCTCCCTTTTTTATATATATAAATGGACGGTTTGTGTTTCATGATGTCATTTTTTTTAAAACTAACTGCACTGAAGGGGGAAAAAAAGAGGTTGTTTCAGGGTCAAACCACTGAGATTGGGGGGGAGTGGGGTGTCAGGTGGCTCACTCATGGTATTTTTATGTTCAAGAAATGGGAACGTTTGCTCTCGTTTCGTCATCCTTGTGTTTTTTTCCGGAGGGTTATCAGGGCAACAAGCTTCCTAGAGTCAGACCAGCGTATGTCGGTTAGCAAGCAGATGGACGCCGAGAATTTATTTATTTATTTATTTTCTTTTTCACGACCACCTCTCTGCACCTGGTGCTATCTGACCTTCGCTCCGCACGAGCAGACACAAAGCCGTTACCGAAGCGCCGTGTTTGTAGCAGCTGAAGTCGAGTCACCGTTCACCCGATTTAGACGGAAATCTGTTTTGCACCTGTAACAATCCAAATAGTAAATGTGTATGTGAGATTGCAACTTTGTACCGGATATGTTCGTATGTTTAAGGATATGTGTTGAACTATTTGCCTGCCCGTCCTGTAATTTATTGATAGCACACTGTATCTATGAAGGCTCGTTAAAGAGGCGAAGAGATGATCTTTTGAGACCTGATGAAAACTTTTCTGTATGTATAAGGAACAACTCACAATGTGCTGATGATGTGTCCACTGTTCTTGGTGTTGGTGTCGTGAATGAACTTTACCAGATGCTGTATATTGTTCCCCTAATCTTTCTATTTACCACCCCCAACGTCATTAACACTGGATTCAGCAAACCGCATCAAGTTGTCAGTCGTCGGAAACTGAGCCACTCAGCAAACGCTGGCTGGATTATTTCTCATCATTGCCTGGTCGTGTGTAGGAGTTGTCTGCAAATCTCTAAATGTGAAGTGATTACCATGCGGGGGGAACTTTCTTGGACGTGGTTGTGGAGTTGTGATGTCGAGCACGGTGATGTTTGCCCCTCGTTCACCAACTGTGAAATTCTTGCTTAACGTGTGTTTTTCTAAGATACCAGAGTTTGGAGGGAATCATGGATCCTGTCAGCTTTTGACCTTCTTTGTGTTGACTTCAGTGGAATAAATTAATAAAAATTAACTCGTGTTCCTGACTCATTTTTTTCTTTTTATTTGTTTTAACTGTAATTAAACGGGACTGACACACAGACATGAACCCGTGGTTTCTATAATGAGGCTATTTATTAGTCATATAATAAAAGGAATGTTCATTATACAGTATAACTTCAAGAGATTTCAGCGAAGAAGGTTTTGGTGTTTGTAAGGTTTTTGTTCCACTACTTCTTTCAGAAAGGAGTTTGGAAGGGAAGTACTGGTTACTTTGTTTACTGTAAAAGCAGCAGTTCAGATCTTCTGAAGTTGAGTTCAGTGGAAAGGTTCTCATCCATGAATATCTTACCTGTTGCAGATAGATCTTTGAACTTATTTTGAAAAAGCAAACGATTTTTATAGATGAATGGTGCAGCTATGGGCCAACCAGGAGCACTCAAAACAAATCAGAGACATCCTGCTTTCTCACTATTATTTTATGGGGTATGGCTGTAACTGTTAGCTTTTGTTTCTTTCTGTCTTTACTGCTCAGAAATCTGCAGATTGCAAATCTTAAAGATACAAGTCATTTGAGTCCGGTGCCATCAAGTAGAGGCCATTTATCCTCTCGAGTCCTAGACTTCAGCTTGGGTTTTTAATTTTCCTAGTATGTTTAGATTTGTTAAACTTCATAAACATAAAAACAAACTGTTTTTTAAGCATGTAGGAGATAAGTATATATTAGGGGTGCAACGATACAGAAAATTCACGATTCGGTTCGGTTCGATACTTTAGTCTCATGGTTCGATATTTTTTCGATACAAAAAAAAAAAATGTCCATGCCCCTTTTAACTTGTAATTTGTTTAAATTAATCATTTGTTTAACCTCAAAAGTACAGTTTTTAAATTAAATGTTGCTGAAACAGCAAGTTTCTCAGTGGATCTGCGC